CTGAATACCATGTGTACAAGGATGAGTTCAGGATTTACTCATCTTGGGTGGGGAAATGATCATAAACAGCATCTTGGGTGGGGAAATGAATGCTCTGGAGGTCAAACTACATGTGCCCTTGACTCTGGGTAACACATTTTGTCATTCAGGGTGAATTTGTCATTCTTGACAGTGGAGTTACTTAGATTCTTTTGGAAAGATTTTGGAATTATTGCTCCATGATGCAAGCTTTTTATAGTATTTAGGTTTATAGTATGGGCTACAGTACTTCTCTGCAGGGCCAGGGCCTGTGTAGTTGAAGAGAAACATGGACGGCTTTGGTCACGAATACAGCTGTCTCTGGGGCTTTGTGTTTATAGTTGGAATCCTTCTGCAACCAAAAGAATACTAAGTAACAAAACCCATCCCAGTCTCTGGCCCCATGCCTGTATTGTGGCTTGAATTCCTTCAACACCAAAATAACAAACCATTTTTTAAACACAAAACAGTTCAAGGAGCATAGCTCTTCTGGCTCTCGAGCTCCCTATGCTGGCTATAGAAAATAGCATTTTTCTCTTCTGGAAGTAATTCAGATTCTTAGTTTCTTAACTTAGACTAAGCTGCATGCAATCCTTCCCAGCTGGGAGTGCCTCCCTGACATGACTCCCCAAAACCCCTGTTTGGCTCCAACTGGAAAAAAATATAATTCCAAAACCTGCATTGCTGTCCAGCTTGATAGGCCTCCTTTTAGGCCCTACTGGGATGGCTCCCTTCAAGACTGGCAGGGAGGCCCAAAGACTTATAGGTTCTCTCAGAGATGACAACTGGATTAAATGGTCTGTAGTGTCCTATGACAGTTTAAATTAGATAAGTACAGGGTGTATGTTCCTAGGATAAAAAAAGACCAAGTAAAAAAGCTGAACATGGGAAGCTTGGTTTTGGTTCTCTTGATCCCAGAGGGGGATGTCTAACTTGCCATAATTACTATTGCAGATCAGAAAAGTAAGAAAAGGAACCTTTCCTGTGAATGCTGTTGCCAAGACCTTGAAACAAAGGAGCGAGAATGCCAGGATCTAAAAAAGAAGCTAGAGAAAACCTGTAGACATCTCCAGCTTGCAGTAAGGGAGCACAAAGCTAAGGCTGAGCAAATTCAAGGTTAGTATATTCATTCTCCTAAACAAAGCTTTGGATATGGTTCCAGAAATTTACCTGTGATCTGTCTTTTGAGCTGTATCTTCAACAGCAGTAATAGTAGATACTTAAATGATTCTTGGTCCTGCTGAGTTTACTTTTATAATATGTGGAGTGCAATGATACCTGACGTTTTCATAGTGCTTTTCATTGGATCTCAAAGTAGTCCGCACAAAAGTTTGGGAGGGGGGAGTTGTCTTTCTTTGCCTCAATTTGTGGTTTGCCTAGGTTACTCAGTGGGCAACCAGCTGAGCAGGAACAGGATCCAAGTCTGTCTTAGTTCAGTGTTGTATCCAGTAGGCTCAGGTCTTTGACATTTCCCACTGCATTAACTGTGCATCTCTGTGCTAGCCAACAGGATAGAGGAGTTGAGAAGTCAAAGTCCTGATTCAGTTCTGTGCTCTGAGTAAGCACATTCTTTAAAAAATATAAAGAAAAAAAAAGAAGCAATTTACAATAGATATTATTTCAGGCTATCTTCTAGGTAGCCAAATGGTTTAGCTGAGCAGGAGCTCAATTACCCAGGAATGCGAGTCAAATAGTTGAGTTCTAGATCAGGTTAAAAAGGAGAAATTGTTTAATAGACCTGTTTGCTGCCAATGTTTCTATGAAATGCCTGGTGGTGCTCCCCAAAGGGAAGTAAGCTCTAGTCTTCTGCAGAAGCATTTGTGGGCACATCAGTTGTGGTCCTCCACCTCTTTCACTAACACGTTTGTGATTTACAGGGTCAAGGTCTGGTTCTTTGTCTTGTCCTGGCATTTGTGTATCTAAAAACGTGCAGGCTAACTTCCGTAGACAGAAACTCTTCAGTGTCTAGACCGGGTCAGACCAGTGGTCTGTCTAGCCTGGTATCCTGTCACTTAGTGGCAGAAATGGCTTCTAGAGGGAGAGCATTGAACTGGATAGGTCTGGTCTATCCCTTATCCTTACCGTGCCTGGCATCCACCATTATTGGTCTAGAGATGCCAGAGGAAACATCTCCAACAATTCTTTACAGAAGATTTTGGTCCATAGCAAAAAAAGCATCTACTTAGGAGGATGTACCATGCCAAGTGAGAACACATTCATTGTGGTACATAAAGTATTTTCAGCCGCTATTCTGATCCTTCTCTTTTGGGACCTGTATGTTTTGATCTACTCCTGAATCTTCAATTTGGGAAAGCTTCCTTTGCTGCTACATCTATTTTATTGCCTATGCCTTGAAAGTCGTTTAGTCTTTTGTTAACTAATAGGGTGCCTAGGTTTTTAAAGAGCTTGATTCATTTATTCCCAACACTAAAGAGACTTTTTCTACCAAAGTGTTGAATGTAGTGAATGCTGTCTTTGTGTCTGTGTTCACCATATTGCCTTTCAGTTAAAATACGATTCTTAAATAGACTCCTGAATCCTACAGAAATTATGTAAATTAGATATCAATCTAAAAGCCTACCCATTTGTGTGGAATAGTTGTATTACTCAAATGGACTGTGTTAATAGGTTTAACACCATTTTGTAAAAAAATTTGATAGATGCATTGTAACCATGAGCTGAAAACATGGCCCTGGCCACCCTAGAAGAACAGTCACTTCCAGCGTTGACTTGTAAGAGCCACTGATCACTTATTTTTACACCCTGCGTCAGAACCAGTAGTTCTACAGTATGAACCTTGTAACTTTCAGCCTTTGTCTGTCCCCCACACATTTCACCTGCAGAAGTCAACCTGTGCCGAATAAGGAGGTACAGATCAAAAGACTGCTGGCCTGTTCAGATGCATGCGATCTTAAATTTGGCTTATAGTACAGCACACTTTGAAGCACATAGTTGTTTTTCAGTCTTGAAACTATGCTCACATCTACAGGGCTGTCCCTGTCCCTCCATGCTTTGGGGGGCCCCATGGTCAGCACCGCATAGGCTCTGCTGCCACAGCCGAGAACTGCCAGCTCCAGCCGCTCACCCCCCCGCTCAGGCTGATATGCCCCAGGCCGGCGCATCCCTAGGGACAGCTCTGCTCATCTGAAATGTGCGCTCATGTGAACTTAATGGCAGCAGTGCTGATTTAGGATGCAGTATTGTTAGTGTTGTGGGATTAGCAGCACCAAATTAGACTAGCTCATGTCATTTTCAGGGCATCTAACAGCAGTCATAAAACACTCCACGCCATCGTCCAAGTCACTTATGAAGGCATTGAATAGCACTGGTCCAAGGACCAAGCCTTATGGGACTCCACTGCACACATCCTTTCCAGGTTGATATTGACCCATCCACCACCACTGTCTGGGTGTGACCCCCTAAGCCAATTTGCCCCCGACCTGACCATGTAATCATCCACATCACAGCCTGTCAGTTTATTTACAAGAACAGAATGTGATACCGTATCAAAGGCCTTCTTAAAGTCTAGGTAGATAACGTGTACCTCGATTCCTGCATTTAAGCGTTTTGTGACCTGGTCGTAAAAAGAAACAAGGTTAGTCAGGCAGGATCTACCTGCAATGAATCCGTGCCGATTTCCTTTCAGCATTATTTTCCCTTCTGGGCTCCCACAAATGTGATGCTTAATGATTTTTTCCAGAGTTTTCCCAAGGATAGAGGTGAGCCTCACTGGCCTATAGTTTCCTGGTTCCTCCCTCCTCCCCTTCTTGAAAATAGGGACCACATTGGCCTTTTTCCAGTCCTCTGGGACCTGACCAGAGCACCATGAGTGTTCAAACAGCCATGCCAGCGGCTCTGCTATGACACTGGTCAATTCCTTCAGCACCCCGGATGAAGTTCATTCGGGCCCGCTGATTTGAATACATCCAGCCCGTCCAAGTGCCCTTTCACTAAGTCTGCGCTAACAGCTGGTGGGCTGGTGTCCCTTCTGTGTCTATCTATGATCCAATTGGGAGATTTGCCTTCGTCTGGGTTTAGGAATACAGTCATGCCCTTTCTACTTTCTGGTGCAGGGGGATCACTCATCATGATCCTAGGCTCCCCCTGCACTGGTCTGGGGGTGACCATTTATACTACAATTGACTCATTAATCAGCATAAATGTAATGAGTAGAGGGGACCTCATAGTCAATTTTACTACTGGTCTTGAACAATGAGTTTGTCAGTTTTAAGGCTGCCATCCTCCTTCATTTTTCAAGGCTTCCAACAGAAGGTGTGAAGAAGACAAATTCCCATCAGTTTCTGGTGGGACAGCTACTCCCATTTCTATGCATTTAATTGGAGTATAATTAAGTTATAAAGTGGTGTTGAAAAATGCTGTGCATTTAAGCATTTGTGTACTTGACCAGTATGCATAGAAGTGATTTTTCTTTTTTGCTACAGTGGAAGCAAAAGGCCACATACTGACCTGGCCTGGTATGATGTGTTAGTGAATTGTATGCATGGAAATGAAATACACTGCACAGGCAAACTGAACTTAGGCCTCACTATATATTTGTAATCTTAGCTGGTGGCTGTCAAAATTGCCACTGGGGGTATAAAATCTAATTTATTTTCCTTCTCTGTCCAGAAAAAGCCTCAGTTGCTACAATGCAAACCATCTTTTTCTTCCCTAACACTTTCCAACACAGACTTGCTGCAATGTTGCCTCCCACTCTCACCCTGCACTTCCCCAACCCCACATTCACACTTTCCAAGACACGTGTTGCAGCTCTGCCTCCAGCTGAGATTAGAAATTAGTTGCTCAGAAAAACTCTGTATACCATCATTGAATTGGTGAAGGTGCCACTGCTTTTATGTTCAGAGTTCAATGATCTGTGGTCTGGTGAGCTCCTCTATATTTGTCATTGTGATGGTAGTACATATCATGGCTTCCCTAATACCAACTTCTTAAAATAGAGGTAGCAGTTTTACATAACCTAGGATGAACTTCAGTTGGATTAAAAAATGCAGATTGGGGTGTGTATTTTGTGTGTGTAATCCATTTTTTTTAATAGAAAATGAAAGAGTTTTGGAGGCTTTAATGGAAGAAAACTCTGAGATGAAGACTAAACTCAAAGATCTGAGAACGTGTGACACCCCACCCAGGTATTTCAAAAGTGCAAACAAACTGAATTCCACAAGTCATTTTGTTGATCTAGTACTTATAAGGTACTATGTGATTTGTGTGCCTCTTAGGTCATTGTCTGAAGGGGCCATTTCAAGACCTTGTGCATCTTTTGATGGTCTGAAAGGACTGGAAGAAATGCGTGCTCAGTACATTAAAGCTGTAGGCAAAATTAAGAGTAAGTGCTAATGAGGTTTTGCTAAAAGCTTTACATCTGCAAAACTAACAATTTCTTCTCATCAGCTGGTTTGTACAGGCATCTGAGTCACTGATGTATGAGTGTATGCTGAAGAACTAAGCTTGATTCCTAGTATGTCTTCTCCTCCCCACAGCCCGAATTTATATAAATTTTATTGGGGAGAAAAATCTGTTTTCTCTTATTGCATTCCAAATGGCTAATATCATGCTCTTGTACCTCAGAGTATGTATGGTCTTTGGTAAACTTTAACTTGAAAAAAGAGAATGTGAGAAGCTGAATTAGCCTCTCATTGCAACTAGCATAGGTCTGATTCTGCCAGTCTTACTTGGTAATATGCTGTTATACGTACAGCTATGGTGTGCTACACAACCTGAGTGAGGCTGGTGGAATCTAGCCCTGTAGAGGTTGTGCTGGGCTGTTACTATAAATGGGAAAAGCTTTTTGTGGGGCTTCCTGATTGGGGAATTTCTTGTTTCTTATGCCTTTGAATTGCTAGCAAATCATTCTCCCCAGTTCTTCCTCTCCCCAAGAAGTCCCAAGGGAAATCTTAATTTCCTTCATCTTATTTACCCACATTCCATGTACTAGGTTTTGGTCACCATCCCTTTTAGGTGAGGGAAGACTAGATCAAATACTATTTCTTAATTGGCTGTAGGGGTTTGTTGAATGCCAGCTATGATGCTGTTGCCACACTTTTAGCGTATCTCCCCATGCCCTCTTGTCCTTGTGCAAATCTGTACTAACACAGTGTATTTGTGCAGGTGACATGCTTCGCTATATCCACGAGAGTAAAGAGAGAGCAGCTGAAATGATTAAAGCAGAGGTTTTAAGGGAGCGCCAGGAGACTGCCCGGAAAATGCGCAAGTACTACTTAATTTGTCTTCAGCAACTTCTCAGTGATCATGGGAAATATGAAGGGTGAGTCAATATGCATGGACACACTAGAATTGCACTATTATTAAAAAGAAATAAAACCCTTGGGTAATTATCCACTAGTTATGCACCCTGAAGTTTTAGAGCACAAAGACCCTGTTTGCCCACAAACTCTGGTGGAGTCCACTTTAAAAATAGTTGGTGCAGGTTCTTTAATGCAACTGGCATCCTCCCATAGTTTCATAGTTGGTAGGGTCGGAAGGGACCTGAGCAGATCATCAAGTCCGACCCCCTGCCATGGCAGGAAAAAGTACTGGGGTCAAACAACCCCAGCAAAGTGTTTGCCTAACCTCCTCTTAAAGACCCCCAGGGTTGGAGCCAGCACCACTTCACTTCGAAGTTGGTTCCAGGTCCTAGCCACCCTGACTGTGAAGTAGCGCCTCCTGATGTCTAGTCTGAATCTACCCTCTGCCAGCTTGTGGCCGTTATTTCTAGTCACTCCTGGTAGTGCGTGAGGGAACAGGGACTCCCCCAATGCCTGCTGGTCCCCTCTGACTAGTTTGTAACAGGCCACTAGATCCCCCCCCTCAACCTTCTCTTGTGGAGGTTGAACAGGTTCAGGTCCCTTAGCCTCTCCTCTCTAGTGAGCTTTGTAACAGAGGGCCATTTCCAAACAAGTTCCTTCTAGCTCTAGAAAACTTCCTTTAAGTAAGCAGGCTAAAACAAAAAACATGATGACTGCCCAGCAGTTGAGCATCTCTGAAGAACTATATGTTCCTTTAAAAAGGACTTAAGGAGGTGGGAGGAGGCAATGGACTTGCACTTTTCTACATATCAAGAGACTTCCAATGTTTAAACAGAGGTGCTTTGGGACTCGCGACTCAGGGCAGAGTTGGGAGGGGGTGGAGCAGCGGGTCTATTTCCCTGGTTTTATTGGAGGCTTTCCTTGAAGGGGGAGCAAAGTCTCCAACTGAAGGAGCAGGATTGTTTTGGATGTCTAATACAACTTCTCTGAAATATTCGTATGGTGGCTGAATTACTCATTTTTACGGTTTTAATGCCTCATTTTATCATCTGGATTAAGAAACATCTCATCTTTATCAGAGTTCATATCCTGTCCTAATCCTACTGCTTTTCCACTGGTCTATGTAGTCTTAAAATAAATTATTAAAATAGTCCTAAAATAAATAAAATTAGTATTAAAATAAATTCTCTACATCTCCTGGGTTTAAAAATAAATATGTAAGAATTGAAAGCCAAAGATAGTATTTTGCCATAATGAGGAATCAGGGTGAACATTTTAGGTCTACTTTTTATCTAATATAGATTCAAAAAATGAATTCATTTTATTCCCTCTAGGTTTTTTGTAGGTTGTTTGTTTGTTTTGTTTGTTTTTAACAGACATCCAGCTAATTGAAGCAGAATGGATCTAAGGGTTGCTATCAATGGGATTAGTAAAATAACATAGGAAAAGCTCACGTGATTCAAAAATCTCTTAATGATTTTTATATTGAAATGTTCTGGGGTTTTCAACAGAGCTGAAAAGAAAATCATGAACGCTGCTAGCAAGCTTGCAACAATGGCTAAAGTGCTTGAAACACCTGTTCGGAATACACCCCAGAGCAAAAATACCCACTCCGGTAGGTTGGAACAAAAGCTGGTTCCCTTCCTTCTCATTTTACAAGTTTAATTAATTTGGTAATGAAAATGTAGGTGCACAGTGAGAGAAATACATGTTCTGTGTTCTGCCAGGGTTTACATAGTTTATACCTTCAACTAAGCAAAAGCATGGACAGTTTGATTTGACTACGCTATTATTGACAGCTTTTTATATAAACTGATACTTTTCCCACATTAACGTTTCCTTTAATAATCCCTTTTTTTTTCTCTCCTCTCCTAGTCCTGCCACTAAATTCTGAACTGCCAACTGGAGTTGAGCAATCAAAAAGGAATTACATGCATCAGAGTAGGCCAACCCATATGGAAAGCAAATCATGTGGCAGAAGTATTGCCAAAAAAGCTAGTGATCAAGTTGTTCAGAAACGTGTACCTTATAACTTGAGACAGCAGCTTGATGCAGCACAGGCTGAAACACTGTCTCTGCTTCATGGAGGAATGACTTTGGATATCCAGAATGGGAGCACTGCTAAACAACTAGCTGATACTCCAAGAAATGCCATGTCAGAAATTCACCCTTATGAACATGAAAGAAGAAACAAAACTGTCTGTGTTTCAAATACAGACAGAGGCCTGATAAATGCCACTAGCATTACAGCACTTCAGCAGGCACCCACATGTGTTTCTCAAATGAAGCTTGGAAACTTACATATATCCAGCAATATAAATGGCCTTTCCGACTCTAGGCCATCTCCTATACTGTTTGAAAGGCAGAATGAAAGACCAGCATTAAAAGAAGTTAAATGTTACCAGCCAAATGGAAATTGGAAGACTGCATCTGAGAGGACTCAAGATTTTGATGTTCAAGAAGCCCCAGTAAGGGATGAAGGAGGCTGCACTGACTGGAGTTCAATTAGTGGAAGCCTAAATTTGGATAGTGCAACAGGTGATACATGCCTGTTGTATCCTGTGCAGAAAACAAACTCTAATACATTGGTACAACTCAGATCCTATGAACAGTCTTCTATGACCAGTCTGTTTTCTGATGAAGATACTGGACCTTTTTGTAAAGAACTTAGTAGTCATGAAACCAAGATTCTCGGTGCAAAAAACAGACACTCACTTCACTGTAAAGACCATCAAGATGTGAACTCAGGGTGTACTTCATACCAAATTTCTGACAAAGCCAGTTCTGCACTTGTACAAGTCAGTGTGACACCATATTCAAATGTAGGAAAAGGCCACAACCAACATTTAAGAAAAGCAGTGCCAGATGCTAAATCATTTCAGCAAGATAGTGGCTTTGATAGTCCATTTGCTAACTTGGACTAGCGTGTGTAATTCTTTATCCTAGAAGAATATATTTAAATGGAAACTGGTGGTGTGAGGGAAACCTATTAGAAATGTGTGGGTTCTGTCCAGTCTGTGTTCTGTTGCATGACTCGACCTGTTGTATGAACACACAAATTGTATAAAATTAATTGAAATATTGATGTAGGTTTTTGTTTGTCATCTGGCTTTTGTTGTGTACATTATTTTTTATCTAAGTGTGTGAACTTGTTGAATAGAATCTATTTTTATACCTCAAGATTGGCTTGCAGTGCAATGTCACATTTTTATTTATCTAAAAATAAAACTACTTTCATTTGTGGTCACTTTTTAAAAAAAAAGTTGGTACAAAAGTTCCTTTCAGATTTTAGTGCTGTGTTTCGGGACTTGTTTGATATCCAAACATTTCATCTTGAAAGATCCCTGTAAGCAGGATAGCCCTGTAATTTGTAGATACAAATTTATGCAAATGTAATGTGTGCTTATTTTTATGTATATATGTATTATAACCAGAATCAAACTCTAAGTATGTCCTCCTCTTGAATACAGTGAAAAGTAATTCATTTTTGATGGGGAGGAAAAAGATCTTAGTTCTTTCTGTACCTAGGGCACAGAACTTTCTTTAAATAGGCTGCAACCTTTACAACTTTCCTAAATCGGTTCTCATTCTATAGGTTTAGTAATATTCCTGTTGACACCCAATACTTCCTTTTTAAAGGCTTTCTCTCCCCCGCCCCCCCCCCAAGTGTATTTCTCACCTTCTGAAATGTAAAGCTTTTAAGACTGATCTGTGTTTAACTTATCTTTTTGCTCATGTTTATTTTTATTTCTAGGGCTACTTACATGAAAACAGGAATTTTGCTACATGCTTCATCTGCTCTTGCTGTTTTGCTTATGTGTATATAATGTGCTTATAATGGTGGTAAGCTACCACCATTTTTCTGGTTTTTCATGGTGAGCCCTCCTCATGTCACTAATTGGTCAAAGATCCTCGGTGTCAGCCCCTTTTCTCGCTGCTGATTGTCCAAGAGGGCTGCCATTCGTGTGGTTTTGCCACTTGCTGCCAATTGGCAGAGGGGGCCGGGGCCACATGATGGGCAGTCCTCTGAGTAAGGGCGAGAAGTGGGCAGCTGCCATCTTAACTGCTTTTCATGAGAACTGCTGGCTCTTACTGGGAGGCAGCATTTTATTTTCAGTAATTTATTTATTTTACCCCAGTGATTCAGCTGAAAATTGCAGAGAATACCACATTTTGCAGGAATTGCCTCAAATTTCAGTTTCTGTAAAACATGTGAAATGGCAGTTTGACTAGGTGCCTACTTCTATGAGGATGTAATAAGATACTACTATTCACAGTGATATGTACCAATAAGTGACTTTGGGTAGTAGAAAGGGCAATTAAAATATGAACACCTGAACATATCTTTTCTGCCCCCCTGCCACTCACAAATGCCTGCAATAATAAAAGCAAGAAAGTAGTGCTATGGAAGAGGAACAGTCGTCCTGGAATCGGATTTCTCTTATTTTTCAAGGTTGACTTAAAGCAATTAAGAGAATTTATATCCTTTCATATGTACTAAAAGGTGGGGAAACAAAGTTACTGCAGCAGAAACCTGATATAAAAACACAATTTCTTTCAGACTCTTAAGAGTGAAAATGAAAATGCATGAAGTTTTTTTAATGGCATACAATAGTCTCCTGTAAAGAGGATTTGAAAAGGGCCAATATGGTCCCTATTTACAAGAAGGGGAGAAAAGAGGACCCCAGCAATTATAGGCCAGTCAATCTTACCTTGGTTCTTGGGAAGACCTTTGAGAGAATCATCAAGGAGCACATCTCCAAGGGCCCAGCAGGAGAGGTAATGCTCAGGGGCAACCAACATGGCTTCATTCATTCATTCCTGGTTTCTTTTTATGATCAGGTCACAAAGTCCCTGGACAGGGGTGTCAGGGTGGATGTCATCTTCCTGGACTTTAAGAAGGCCTTTGACATGGTTTCCCACTGCATTCTCTTAAAAAAACTTGGTGACTGTGGGATTGAGGCCTACACAGTCAGATGGATGGCAAATTGGCTGGATGGTTGCACCCAGAGAGCGGTGGTGGATGGGTTTTTTCGACCTGGAGGAGTGTGGGCAGTGGAGTCCCCCAGTGCTCGGTCCTGGGCCCTGTACTGTTCAACATCTTTATCAGCGATCTGGATGTGGGTGTGGAAAGCACAGCAAGTTGTGGGGTGAGGTGGGCACCCTGGAGGGGACGGACAGAATCCAGCTATATCTACACAGGGTACAGAGGTGGGCGGATGAGAATAGAGTGGAATTCAACGCAGACAAGTGCAAGGTGCTGCATCTAGGGAGAAGGAACCAGCAACACACCTACCCGTAGGCTGGGGGACACCTTCTTGTCAACACGTTGGCTGAAAGGGATCTTGGAGTCATTGTTGACTCCAGGATGAATATGAGCTGCCACTGTGAGGACGTAGTCAGGAAGGCTAACCGCACCTTGTCATGCATCTACAGATACATCACAAGCAGGTCCAGGGAGGGAATCCTTCCCTGATGTGCGACACTGGTCAGGCCACAGTTGGAGTCCTGTGTCCAGTTCTGGGCACTGCACTTCAAGAGGGATGTGGCTAGCATTGAGAGGGTCCAGAGGAGGGCCACGCATATGGTCAAGGGGCAGCAGGCCAGGCCCTATGAAGAGAGGCTAAAGGACCTGAACCTATTCAGCCTCCACAAGAGAAGGCTGAGAGGGGATCTGGTGGCTGTTTACAAACTCACCAGGGGGGACCAGTGGGAATTGGGGGAGGCTCTGTTCCCCCGGGCACTACTCAGGGTTACAAGGAATAACGGCCTAAAATTGTTAGAGAGAAGGTTCAGGCTGGATATCAGGAGACATTACTTTACAGGTAGGGCCACCAGACTCTGGAATGGGCTCCCAAGTGAGGTGGTGGTATCTTCTACCTTGGGGGTCTTCAAGAGGAGGCTGGACTGATATTTGGCTGGGGTGATATGATCCTGGCACCAGTTCCTGCCAAGGCAGGGGGTTAGACCTGATGATCTGTTTAGGTCCCTTCCAGCCCTAAGTATTATGATGCTATGATACTAAAAGGAAAATAGCACAAACTTTAATATAGAAAAGCTCCTAAAGGAAAGTGCATTTTAATTTTCCTTACAAAAATGCCTCACTTTGCTTTTATCTGTTGGGCCAGCTACCATGACAGCATGCATTTTCCCATAGTCAGGACTGGTTTGTGCCTTGAAACCAGGCTGGGAGATCTAATGTGAGAATTCTAAAATTCCTGATTGCCCTTTTAATGCCATAAATTCAATACCACTTCCTCTGTAGTCAAGATGGAGTTTTGTCATCTTCAGAGGGAGCAAGGTCAGGCCACAAGAGGTGTCTTGTGCCTAAACAAATATGGGCAGTGGCTAAGTTCTAGGGCCAAATCCATAGCTCTTAAATGAGGAAATAGCTGTGGCCTTTTCTACAGAGGAAACTTTTACCAGTTATACCATATAAACCCCAATGTGGACAATTTTATTTCAGTAGAAAAGTAACTTGGTTTAGCTTAAAACTTTTTTCCCCCCAGTGTGAGCTAAACTGAAAAAGGCTGGTGTTTCCTGGTAGTAGGTAGGGTTTCTTTGACTGGAATAAATCACAGGCGGATAAAAGCATAAATCTTTGCTTTCTGGACATGGGCTGGATCTAAAGAAGTAAACACTCAGGACAAAGAATTGAGCTCACAAACTGGGCAGTTGAAAATCCACTTACTTGGAATAGTATGTGCAAAACAGGTGCATTACCCTTGCCTTTCCCTGCCATTTTTATAAATTGATTTGAGTAATCATTTAAAAGGTTAAGCTAGGATGGCTCTAACGTCTGCCCCAGGATTTCTATGAAAAATAACAGGCTTTAAAAGAAATACATTTTTTTTAATGCTTGAATCACTAGTAGACTTATTGTAATAGGAAAAAGCTTTTGTATAAACAAAAGCTTTCAAAACCTCTAACTTCTTAGGGTGTATTTCATTACATTGTATTAGTCTAGTGACCAGCCCCTTGGTCATATTTATATGCAACTTTCATTGGTAGCTTTTTAAAATGTTACAAAAATTGAAGTGAGATCCAGATCCAGCTAAAGCCTGAACCCAACAAAGCTCAGTCTATCATTTGGTTAAAAGATTATGCTATGCTTAATAGAAATAACCTTTTTGCAATGCGAATTGCTTTCAGTCAAATCGTGGCTTAAGCCAGCAATTCTCAACTTTTTGCACCTTGCATCCCACTAACCATTTTGTCAAAAAATCCTGGTCCCACCACGATAAAAACAAAATCGCACTTTTCCCAAAAAGTTTGCATGCATTTTAGTATTAATGGACATTTTAAAGGAAATTAAAAATTGCAATAATTTTGTTGAAAATAATTTTCATTGCTATAATTGTAAAAAACCAAAAACAATTCTATTAGCAGAAATGAGATGATAATTTAGTCATTAGTGAGAAGCCTGCGGTTGCGTTTCATTAGCAAGCATGTCAGTTCTTGGGTTAATGTTTGAAATAGTGACTCAAAGAGCTGCTTTGAGTTGAAGACGGTTTCTTTCCTTCATTTTTATAGTTGCCATAGCAGGCAAGGTTTGCTCACAAAGATATGTGGAAGAAAAGGATAGTAGTTTCTTAATAACTTTTTCACTAAGCTGCTCATATTCTGTCTTTAAGCCAGAAAGTATCCAAAGGCAGACTCTTGAATAATTCTTTCAATGTCGGATTGCTTACTAATTCAATGAGACAGTGCATTGGCTTTAATAAGATTTACTACTTTTATGCAATCAGACAACACATCAGAAAGTTCAGGGACCATTTCTTTGCTTGCAAGCATTTCACGATGGATCATACAGTGTGTAATTTGCAACTTTGCACGTTCCTGCAGTGACCCCAGACTGCGTGCCTGTTATTGCAGCAGCATCATCAGTACAAAGACCAACAATGCATTTCCAGTCCAGGCCATCCTTTGAAAAATACTCATCAATAACGCGGAATATCTCGAACCTGTTCTTTGTGTGGGCATATTCTAAACCATAAAAACATCCTCAAGCACTTTCTCTTCATTGACATGTGGAACAAATCTTGTCAAAATTGCACTGTTCGAGATATCTGTTGAGTCATCTATTTGAAGTGCAAACAACTTCGATTTTTTTTCAATCGGGCAATGAGTTGAGTTTTGATATCACAAGACAAGCTTTCAATGCGATGCTTAACTGTATCATTTGAAAGTGGGATAGTAGCAATCTTGTTTGCTGCTCCATCACCAAGAACCTCTCTGCAGGCATCTAACATTGCTGGCTTTACCAATGTCTCTCCTTTTGTGTATGGCTCTTTACATTTAGCAATCTGCAAGGAGACTAAAAAGGATGCCCAAAGGGTGCCAATATTTGTCAAAGCAACAACAGGCCCTCGACCTGACCAGCTAATGACATTAGGAGGAAGGGTAGAGGATGTTTGTTGCAGTACATGTGGTTGGAGTTGTACATTTGTCCCAGGATTTGTAAAAAAAATAAAATAATAATAATAAAAAATAAATAAAAAGCCACTCGGGTATTGTCTTAGAACAAGGTCACTATATGCTTTCTTCCATTACACAATCTGTTCTTTCAGCAGTGTAACATTAATCAAGAATTCATTGCTTGGTAATATGTTTTTCTCATTCAGGCTGGTGCTTGTTTCTAATGTGCTTCTTTGACAG